TTTATACTAGTGGCCTAACTTTTTTTTGTTCAGCATACGTGTCCCAGTATGCAGTACTTTGTCTAAGTGCATGCAATTCAGAAATTCTGAACTTTCTTCCCAAAATTATAAGGTTTATATAAAAAAATTAAAGCACTCTGTAAACAACATGAAAGCTGTTTCCTATTTCCTTTCTAAAATCCATATAAAATTTTTTCTTCCAAGATGCCCAGAAGCCCACGTAGAGAAATGTTTTACAAAAAAATGCCAGCAAATAACATCTTCACTGAGGCAATTTTCTTGAGCCCTTGCCAAGCTGTTTTCATCTGCTTCCATCTAACACAGGGACTCCTGCCTCCCCCTAGGCTCAGAACGCTTCCAGGGCTTCCTGACGTTTAATTTTACAATTCTCTTCTCCGCAGCATTGTGGGTTTTTTTTTTCTAACAACATAGATGAGAGTAAAAAGAAAGTACACACAGACTATTCTTGACTGGTAGTTGAAAAGAAGTTGTACATTGAAAGCAATATATTTTAAACATTTCCTCATGTTCACCTATAATGCTCCCAAATTGCTTGTGTGAATGTCTGGTTTTATTATGCCTTTAGATATGGATATCAAAACCTGACAGATAAGTACTTGGCTGAAAGCAGTTCATACATTCCTAGCAGAGAGTGAAGCTTCTTAGATTTACAGTCTTATAATTGAATTTCCTTAAGTATTATAAATTATCAACTACCTCTTTACTCTATTCCATTGTCTGCTTAAATCAAAGCTAACAAGTATCCTTAGTGGTATAAAAATTTTACAACCTCAGCCAACTATTCCCACAGTTCTTTCTGTATGCAAGAATGTTTTTTAAAATTGGCATGAAAAGAGTATGTTTTAAAAAACATCACATATGCTAATTAAGATTAGCTTTAATTTCAAATGAGAGATATATGCACTTTTTCATTGTTCATACTAATCTAGAGTCTTGTAGTAGGTCAAAGCAGAGAGAGTATTCTTGAAATATTATGACACCTAATTCTTCTTTAGATGCTGGCCTTGATGGGTTTGAATTCGAAGGCATACAGGCTCGACTTTTAATACTTTCAAATTTACAAAAGAGGGCAGTATTTCTATCCAATCATAGTGCAAAAGATAGATTGGGGTTGATCTATTCAAATGATTGGCAGAAAAATGCACTGCATGGTAGACTTCAGTTCAAGACAAATATATCACTCTTATCACAAGGACTGATACTGTTCATAAATAGCAAACAGTTTTCAATCACACCCGTTTTTGATTCCTAGACTCAATGATTAAAAATATTGTATTCAGGCAGACCTTTTAGAGAATAAATGTCTTTGGGAACAGGCTACATTAATATTTAGTCTAAATCCTGTGAGGAGGATCAGGTAATCCATTTATTACTCAGCTTCCTGAAGAACTTCACAATAAGTTGAGGAGTTGCATTCCCTCCCCACCCGCCTTTTAAAGTTCTTCATTTGAAGAAATTCACTGTGCATATCCTAGTCTCATACTTTAAAATAGCCCAAGGCTGCCTAGGTGGCCAAAAATAAATAGCAAGGCAGTTGATGTGTTCCATCAGTGTAGGTGAGCACCTGACTGATGTAAATCTGTGTGGCTTTATTATGTCTCTCTTTCAGCCTGGACTAGAAAGGAATGTAGTGGGAGAAGTGGGCATTGCATATGTGTGTGTGTGAGCAACAG